GTTCTTTATACTAAAACCTTTCAATTTTCATTTCCCATCCTCACTTTTATTCAGTCTTCATGGGTTTGGTCTTAAAGGGTCTGTTCTTAGAACTATATACTGCCTTTCTTACTTTTTACAGAAATTAAAGCCATGACATAGAGACAATCTCCAGTTTGTGTTTTCCTGCTCACTCTGCTCCATTCTCTAGATTTAGCCAACATTACCCGTCTTTGATCACAGGGCCACTTTGAAGAACTAAATTCATGCCTCACAACAAAAGATTCTTACGGTGGAAATAATATAAAAGCAACTGGTAGATAGAATTTAACTACATTATTTGATACCACTTAATTACTCATTTGTCAGAGTCCCACTGTTTTACCCAAATATTTGCAGGCATAGGAATCTTCCTAACTAAGTATAATTCCAATATGTAGCTAAATTTACATCTAGTTATATAAAACACATGCTAAAAAGCAAACTATGAAAGATCTGTACCTTACAAACCCCCCCCACCTATTTTTTTTTTCATTTAAAGGACTTAAATGCATGTACTTAAGTGCAAGCAAAAGAAATTTTCAAATGCTCCTCAAATAAATAGTAAGTGCACTCTTATTAGTCAATTCTGGGGTGCTCAAATCTGCCAACAGACTGCTACAACTCATTCTCAGTTGGCAGACAGTTACATTATAAAAAAGAATGGAAAGAAAAACATTAAATGGCAATGATTATTTTACTATGGGAAAGGAATGGGTACACAGAGGGGATTATATATATATTCCTCTTCTCTATTTTCCAAATTGTCTAACGCAATTTTTGTTTTACAACTGTAACAGTGAATAAGGTAACCTGAAATATGAGGTGATGTAACCCAAAGGAATATTTAGAAAACAGTAATCGTCATCTTCTCTAGGTATGCGTTAGACTGCTCTCCCTTCCTATATAAAGGCAGGTTACACAGGAGATACTCCAGCCCAGTGTTATGGATGGAGACTGTGAATAAAGCAGCCTACTTTCCATCCTGGCTCTACCACTACTAGTCCCAGAACCTTACAAAATGAGTTAACATCTCAGTGCCCTAGGGTCCTCACAGGTAAAATGAAAACAAGATTCTACCTACCTCACAGGGGTTGTTCTGAAGAGTAAATGAGCCTACCTGTGAAGCACTTAGTACTTGGCACAGAAAAAAGAGCTCTATAAAGGTTAGCTACAGGTGGCTATACATAAGATTGCATAGAGAGTGATAATTGCTTATTATTGGCTTTACAAGACAGTTACCAACCAAGTGGCCAGTTGCCATCTGTTAAACATACAGTGGTCTAATAAAATTTAATCAGTATGTATCTGAGCACTTACTATGTGTAGCACTCTATGAAGACTCTAGTGAAGCAGGTAGTCTGGAACTCAAGTTTCAGCTGAAACTCAAATTACAAAACTATTAGGGTATGAGGGTCTAAGGAGAAAACAAACACTTCTGGGTTAATGAAAAGCAATAAGACCAGAAGGAAAGCTAGGTCACTAGTGAACCCAATTAACAGCAATTTGTGATTTCTCCAGCAAACCAGTTGCAGAGAAGCATACTTAGTAGACCTTACCCAAGGCTGGGAACTGGCCAGAGTGAAAGGGTCATGGCAGGACTCTAAGCCACAGGAAATGAGGCTGAGGATGCTATAGAGTTGGGTGAGATGATGGGACTGGCCAACACAAGGACAAAAAACATAACCCAAAGAAACAAGAATCACCAGTGGAGTTTTTTTTTTTTTAAATGCACAAACTCATGCTCCAAGTCCTTCTAGTCTGGAGGAGGAGCCCAGATAATTGCATTTTTTTAAATTTCAGCAGTGATTAGACTGGCACAAAATAGCAACTAGATAATGCCAGTAGGACTAAACAGAATAAGTAACCCCAAAATGCTGATTAAGTCAGGAAGAAATTTCTAATTTTCAGATCATAAACATGAAGCATGTTTAAGTGAAAATAGGTTCAAAGTGTATAAAGGTCACTAGAATGAAGAGGGAGTAGCCCACAGAACCACAAGAGAAAGTCAAAGGAAAATTGAGAAATTGAGTAGTGTGATCACATTTAATAGAGTGCAATGATTCTCAAACTTTTCTGAACATTGGAAGAACCACCTCGGGAGCTTTTAAATCTCTTGATGCCTGGGTCAAACCTCAAGTCAATTAAAACAAATTCTGGGAATGAGATTGAAACCTTGGTATTGTTTAAAACTCCCAAGTGATTCCAATGCACAACCAAGTTAAAGAAACAGGGCTAGAGAGGTTCCAGAATATCAACAAGTGACAGGAATGACGAAAAGCAGGCATCTAAGTTGTTAGTGGTTCTCAAACCCTGGTGTGTATCTCAGAATCCCCTGGAAAGTAAGTTGTGACTCACTCAAGAACAAAAGGAGCTGGCCATTCACCACATTCCCCAAGCAATTCTGATATGCGAAGTTTCAGAGCCATGGGTCTAAGTAACTGGAAATAAGTCAAAGAATAAACTATAACTATGAACAACCTCAAAGCAGTAACTGAGAAGATCATTCCTACCCCTCTCTGAGTGATAAATGCAGGCTTGGCTTAACATAGGAGGCCCTGCTAAACATGATCAGAATCAATAAGTCTGTCAATGAGTTAGCAGAAAAGCTAAAGTACCAGACTCACAATATACTAATGACTGCACAATCCTTCACCTCAGAAAGTGTCATTCTAAAATACTCAGATCTGGCGTCTTGGTGGACAACATACAGAAAGTATGCAATGCCACATGCCTTTTAGAATTAAAGACTTGGCTCTTCAGGAATCCAGGAAAGTCACAAAGTCACACACCAATAAGCAAAGCATATAACTCACATTCTCATTTCCATGTGGGAAGAAGAAACCCTAGGGTACATAAAGTCACACTAGGAACTTCCGGTGTTGCACAAAATGGTCAGTTAGGTAACCTGCTCCTAACTTAGGGTATATAACTATATAACTTTAATTAGTTAACATTGCACTGTTTTTCTCTCAAGATCTCATCACCAAGGCTAACCACACCAAACACCAGTAGAAGAAAACAAGGAGAAATGACCAATTGTTTCACCTAGCTACACAGTAATAATACGGTACTTGTGACCAGTTCCAACTTAGTGGTAAGTATTGCATTTAAAGTGTTACATTTTATCTGAAAAGATTCAAGATAATACATTCCCTTGCATATGACCAACTCATCATCCCATCAGAAATCTCTATAGCAGCACCAGAATTTTCATTTTCAAGATACATGAGCTTTTGTCAAATGGTGACATCTCCCCTGTAATATGAATTTTCAATATGATATAAAAAATGATGGATATATTACACATTTCACAGAGCACAGAGAACAGAAACCTGTCAATGAATTTAAAATTTGTGACAACCTATTTGAAATTTTACACTAAAAGATCTGTACACTTTCATAAGCCATATAAATGTAAAGCAGGTACAAACATTTTTTCTGGGGACAAGGAATGAAACATTCATCTGTAACAAAGTTTGACTGTTGCCTTGGTACATTTCTTTCAATGTTTTCTCATTAACGTTTCAGTGATAAAAATGCAATGCTTCAGTATTCAAAGCGCAACTGATAAAAACTTGAAAATAATGTACTATACTTCAAAACAAAGCCACACATTTCCCTACCATTTGAGCTCGTGCACTAATCTTCACATGTTATATATAATGCACAGGTCTTACTGCAAAATGCAAGTCATTTAAAAAAAAAAAAGGAAAACTTAATAAACACCATTTCTATTTTAAAGGTCACCTTAAATGATTTAGATGTCTTCGTTTGAACCTGGCTGCTCTGGCAAGCTACAGATACCATTTTACAAAATGACTTAATAAATGCTTTTCTACCAAAGTAAGTCATTAAGCAAGAACGAAGCAGGGGAAAAAAAAAAAGTGAAATGAAAATTTTCCAAGTAACGGAGGAGTTAAATTCAACAGAAATAAGAGTTTTCAAGTACAGAGTGGAAAAAAAAAAAAAACCCATAAAAGCAAACATGAACGCCTTGGGGAGGGTAAGGGAGGACCACAATTTAGATAACACTAGCTAAACACTAACCAGAGCCTCAAGAGTTAGTAAACTATCCAACGACAGTTTTGTGCAGACCTTTAAAACACAGTTACCTCTTAGTCATTACATGTCAATTACCTTCGCCCCACACAGCCCAAGTTTCGAGCGTCAGTGTCAGCGGCTTACCGTGATAGTATTCCACCACACAGCTACGGAGCACCAAAGCCAATTTTCTAAAGATGCCCCCAGCAAAACAGGCACACTCACCTTTTCTCTCAAGACTTCACCATAAGGACCTATCCAGACAGTTAATTCTGCCTTTTTGTTTTCTTTCCCCTTTATTCTTTTCAGACAAGCAAACTTCAGTGCAACGGGGCTGCTACTGGAACTGGCACAGGGTTCTGTCTGGGGTTTTCCTAAGAACCCAGATTTGGGGTGGACGCCGATGTCACATGCGATTCTATCTCCCCTCTCCAATGCTCACTTGGAAGGACCAGATCGGCGGCACCTCCTTGGAGATCTCCACGGCATCCCACGAGGGGCCAACAGCGAAGAGGACAAAGCCGAGTGGGAACGCTGTGGCCCCGAAAGTTTTGCTCTACCGACAGCCTGGCCCCCACTTGGGGGTCGGCCTGGGGCTCGGGGGTCGCGCCGGCGAGCAGGCGGCGGGCCCGGCGGGCGAGCGGCCGGCCGCGGGCGCGCGAGTCCACCGCCCACGCCGCTGCGCGCGAGGCGGGCGCTGTCCACCCGTCCCCAGCCGGCGCGTGCTCGGAGCGCAGACGGGGCTCCCAACTTTCGAGGTTTGGCCCGTCCCGCTCCGCGAGCGCAAATAAGGGCCCACCTGCGCCGTTCTGGGGGGTCGGCCGGCCGCCCCCTCCGCGCGCGCCCGCCCGCCCGCGCCCCCGCGCCCCCCGGCCCCGCGCCGCGGCCCCGCCCCAGCCCAACTCCAGCCCGGCGCCCGGCGCGGCCCGCGCCCCTACCTTGCGCCAGCGCCCGGAGCAAGTGCAGCTGGAGCGCCAGCAGCGCCCACCATCCGCGCCGGCGGCCCGCGCTCAACTTTGCCGTCGGCCGCCCGCCGCGCCTCCCCGCGGCCGCCTCGTCCTCACCCCGGGGCTCGGCGCCGGGCGGGGACCCCCGCGGCCGCCCCGGGCCCGCCGCGCCGCCTCCGGGCGCCGGCCGGGCGCCCCGGACCATGCTGAGGGGCCGCCGCCCCCAGCCCTCCGGCGCCCCGGCCTCGGGCCCCGCGAGCCGGACGCGCGGGCGGTGGCCGCCGGCCGAGGCGCCTCCCGGCGGAGCGGCCAGGAGCGGCGGGCCGGCGGCGGCCGGGGGCGCTGGGGGGCGCGGGCGGAGAAGTTGTCAGCGGGGGAAATCCACGGCAGGAGGCCCCCGGGCCCCGGCGGCCGCCGCCCCCGCGGCAGGAGCGTCCCGGCCGCGGCGCGTCTCCCCGAGGGTCCGGCGGGCGCTGTGGAGACGCCGCCGCCGCCGCCCCCGCCCGGCGCTGAGGAGAAAGTGCGCCCGCCCGCGCGGCCGGCGCTCGCCCTCCGCCGCCGCCGCCGCCGCGCCCATTCACAGCCCGGCCACACGCGCCGCCCGCCCGCGCCCGCCGCCCGCCGCCGATTGGCCGAGGGGAGGCGGCTCGCAGGCCCGAGGCCCGCCCCCGCGCCCTCGCCTGTTTTCAAACTCTCCGCGCCCGCCCGCCTGGAATTTCACGCCGGGCCGGGGCTCGGCTCGGACGGCTTCCCGCGCCGGCTGCGCCCCCTAGGGACTCGAGGCCGGCACTGCAGCTCGGTGCCGTCTCGCTCCGCGCTCGGCGGGCGACTCCGAGCGGGGGCGCGCGGGGTCGGGGCTGCGCTGGGCGCCCGCGGCCGGCGCGCAGGTGGGCTGGCGCAGGTGCGGCGGAGGCGCCCGCGGGCGGGCCAGCCTGCAGTCCAGAGACGGGGCGCGCCCCGCCCGGAGCCCCCGACCCGCCCTGCGCGCAGCGCCGGGGGAGCCGCGGTGCTCCCACCCTCTGGCTCGCTGTTCGGTGGGTGCACGCCAAGTTACTGTGTTTGCAAAGGAACAGCACGCACAATCGGGTTTTTAATTTCTGGCAACAAAAGGCACCACTGAGTGCTGTCCGGCCGCCTGTTGAAGGAACGGACGCCGGCTCTTTAGGGGTGCCCAAGGTCATGCGTGACCTGCAGGGACCTCAGCCTAGCCTCTTCCGTAGCGCAGGGCGGGTCTTGGAGAAGGGTCTCCAAGGGACAAGGTCTCCAAGGGGAAGAAGCTCCTGGGTGAAGAATGTTCAGGGGTGCAGGCTCTCCTTGATGAAGGATCTCCAAGGGAAAGAAGGGTCTTCTAGCGCCAGGCCTGGGAAGCCCGAAGCCGGGCGGAGAGCATGACGCTCAAGCTCAGCAGCATGTGGTAAACATTAGCCGAGTTTATGGGGTGAACTAAGCGCTCTGGAGGCTGGGAGGCCAGCATTTTTGTGGGAGGAGGGCTGGAAGGTGACACATAGTCTGATGCTGTTGGCAGTTGGCCGTGAGGAGCCTGGGGGCATGTGATGATTGAATGAGATCATGTAAGTGATGATGGCAGCGAGACAGTGCTGGCTCCCCGGGACGCCCTAGATGAGCGTTTGCTGTCAGTTTATTACCCCAACCAAGATGGACCCAGGCGGGAGAGTGGAGAGCTGGTCAATGTGGCCCATGGTTCTTAGCTCAGGCTTCCAGCGCACCTTCTATGCACTTCCCACCCTTATTTATTAAGTCTCAACAATGACGGTGTGAGGAGGATGGGGAAACTGAGGCCCAAGCACAGCAGCTAAATGGAGGAAGTGGCTTCCAAACTCATCTGATACCTGGGTCTCCCTCCCTCCCCCAACATCGCTAAGCCACTAGAAGGTAAGATGCAACCCAAAGGTGAAGCTTTTCCCGACACCATGTTGAACGCTCAAACACCAGTGTGCACCGACTGGACAGCAAGGAGTGCCTTTTGGGCACTGATGTCCTGAGGATAACTTGAGGGTGAGAGGAGTCTCTTTTATTTCCCCTTGCAACAACCCTGGACCTCTACTAACTTGCAAGGTTTTATGAGAGTGGGGGAGATGGGAGATAAATATACAATGAGCTCTTACTGTGCTCCACTCCTGTGCCCTAATCCTCACCACCCACTATGTGAGAGATGCCGTCACTAGTACAGATGGGGAAACTGAGGCTAAAAGAGGTGAAGTGCCTTTCTGGAGATGAAGTGTTCAAATCTCCACCTCTTCATTTTTGAGCATCCCTACTTTGCTCAGAGATGGAGGCGGGAATACCAGTAGAGAGGATGAGGGGGTTGAGCGCTTAGCTCCACTCTTTCTAGTTGTAAAATCTGGGCAAATTGCTGATTCTAAGTTCCTGTAAAAACTTAGGGATAATTCCCATCTTAAAGGGCTGTCTGGAGGGAGCAAGATAACTCTCACTCAATAAATGCTCTTTTCCCTTTCCTCGAACCAACTTGGCAGCACTTGTCCCAAACTACCCTTGCTGTGATCACCAGTTGAGTCTGTTCTACATTTAACCTTTTCCTTTCAAACAGAAACCTATGCTCATTACTTTCCTTTCAAATAGCAAACCATATGCCCTTACAGCATAGGCAGGAACATGGCCCGGACAACTTCTTGGCTTCAGGACACTCAAAAAATGCCCAAGCCTCTTTTGATGTGATTTATTTCACACTGAGTGAAAGCTTTGAGGAAACTTGCTTAGAAATTAGAAAGCTGAGCCAGTATACTGTAGGTTGTAAGAAGGGCGTTGACATCACTGCTACTCCAAAAGGTCTGAAGACCCCTGGGAAATTTTATTCCAATATCATCCAGGGTAAGGAGGTTCTAATTTTGTCTCCATTTTACAGTTAAAGGAATGAAGCCAGGGAAGTTTAATATATGCATAGTAGCCGTGTTAAAGCCAGAGTGGGAATCTGGTTCTCCTGAGTCCTATTCTAAGACTTTTCCCCACCAGACTATGTTGCCTTTTATAGGACCCATTAGATTACTATCTTAGGAGTGTGTTTAGACTGTGACTATGAGAGAGAGAGAGATGGGGGGGGAGATTATAACACTGGGGAGGGGAGACTGTCAGCACAGAAATGGAATATTCTGTCCAAAAGGACTAATTAATCTCTACATTTTATCTAGCCCATTGAGAAGGTCTCAAAGCAGTGGACATTTTATACTTACCTTTAACTCACCTTTAAAATCTTCAGCCATCTATTCTAAAAGGCCACGGGTGGAGGGTGTTACTCCATGAAAGCTGACTTAAAGCTCATTTTCTTTTAAAAAATGAACTGTGGCTTTCTCCTACCTTCTAGAACAAGAAGTCAGGATTTTCCCAAATTAAAGAGAGAAAGTAATTTTCAAAACAAAGGGTAATTTCAGAGACCACTGAAGCCACCGGTGTTTTCCCCTGTCATAATCGAAAGCCTGGCTATTCCAGGTGTGCACTGTGGGCCATCAGCCTCACCAGCTCTGGTCAGAATTGCAGAATATCAGGCACAGTTTGGGACTTCTGGATCAGAATCTACATTTTAACAAGATCTCTAAGTGATTCATATGTAAATGTAAGTTTGAGAATCATTAATCCCTTCATATCTCTTAGGAACTTAATAAACAAGATGAATTTAGCTCTTTTGTACACTCTGTCTTCCTCTCTGTCTTTATTCCTGTTTCTTCTCCCTAGTCTTTTATCCTTAATGAACCATGAGATAAAAGGGAAGTTTTTTTAAGGTAGAATTATATTTTTTTATTTTAAAGGTAATATATGCAACTTCCTAGAACATCAGTAGTCTCAACTGTACACAAATTAAAAACTAAACCATCTTTATGACACTGTGAAAAACATATAAGAGAAGCAAGCAAAAATGACAGAGTTTTGTATTAGTTTTTCTATAGAAAAAGCTTTAATAACTGAAAGCAATTCCATTAAGATCTGGAACAAGACAAGGATGTCCACTCTCACCATTGCTTTTCAATATAATACTGGAAGTCCTAGCCAGGGCAATAAGACAAGAGAAAGACATCCAAGGAATCCAAATAGGAAAAGAAGAAGTCAAACTATCACTATTTGCAGACGATATGATATTATACATAGAGAACCCCAAAAACTCCACAGAAAAGCTAATTCAACTCATCAATCAGTTCAGTAAAGTGGCAGGATACAAAATCAACACGCAAAAGTCAGTAGCCTTCCTATACACAAACAATAAATCTGAAGAAGAAGAAATCAAAAAGACCATCCCTTTTGTTATTGAAACAAAAAAAATCAAATATTTGGGAATAAATCTAACAAAAGAGGTAAAGGACCTATACAAAGAAAACTATAAAACACTGTTAAAAGAAATAGAAGAAGACACAAAGAAATGGAGAGACATCCCCTGCTCATGGATTGGAAGAATAAACATTATTAAAATGGCCATCCTACCAAAAGCAATATACAGATTCAATGCTATTCCAATCAAAATTTCAATGTCATTCTTCAAAGAAATAGAACAATTATTGATGAAATTCATATGGAATCACCAAAAACCCCGAATAGCCAAAGCTCTCCTGAAAAAAAAAGAAGGGAATGGAGGCATCAGACTCCCAGACTTCAAACTATACTACAAAGCCATAATCATCAAAACTGCATGGTATTGGAACAAGAACAGACATACAGACCAATGGAATCGAATAGAAAATCCAGAAATAAACCCACAGATTTATGGTCAACTAATCTTTGACAAAGGAGCAAAGACTATGCATTGGAGCAAAGAAAGTTTGTTCAATAAATGGTGCTGGGAAAACTGGGTCGCTACATGCAAAAGAATGAAGCTTGACCACCACCTCACACCATACACAAAAATCAACTCAAAATGGATTAAAGAACTAGACATAAGACCTGAAACCATAAAATATATAGAAGGAAATATAGGCGAAACACTACGTGATTTGCACATCAAAGACATCTTTACAGACACATCACCCAAAGCAGTGATAGTGAAGGCAAAGATAAACAGCTGGGACTACATCAAATTAAAGAGCTTTTGCACAGCAAAAGAGACAATAACAAAAACAAAGAGAAACCCCACCAACTGGGAGAACATTTTTGCACCCAACACTAATGATAAAGGACTGATCACAAAAATCTGCAAAGAGCTGATGAGACTCAGCAACAACAAAGAAAATAATCCAGTCAAAA